TCATGTTGTACTGCTAAGTGCCCATGGGGCAGTAGCAGCCGCACGTGTGGCCGAAAGCACGGAGATCTGTAGTAGGAAGCAAAGAAACTGAGAAGGGATTCACCAGTCAACAGTCGGGACACTCTTTATTTCTAACAGATTTCAGTTCCGTTTGGCAGATCCATTTATTTTCTGAATCACAGTTCTCAGAAAAAACTTTTTTCTGAGAGATTAAAGCGCATCTGTTTTCTCCAGCATCGCCAGTAATTTGAAACCTATGGAGCAAAAGAAAAGCCTAACTTAGTGTTTAGGAATTTCTCATAATTATCTTCAGGTAACTATTATTTTCTAGGACTTTCAGGAAGCAGTGGAATGCTAAATTGTTAGGCATAGTAAATGTGTACATCGTAAGTGCATCACAAATAAAATGGCATAAATTTTTAAGAGAAGGTGATATAAACCTCTGAGAGTTTCAAATTCATTTTCACTGGAAAGGAATTCTTATAACAAACATCATAATGATATTCTGTCACTAACAAGTCATGTGAAAAGTTTCTTAACTTCACTGAGCCCTAGTTTTTGGAACTATATAGGGTATGATCACCTAACATTTGGGGAGGCATTGAGATGATACATGTGGAGGTGTGACAAAGACTAAACAAAGTATGTGCTCATAAATGTATAAGTATGTGAAGGTGTGGTGGATTCACAGGGCCTATAGAATTTGGATACAGTGAGGAAGAGGCTCAGTTCACACGACACATGCTCAGAGGTCCCTTTCATTCTTGTTCCAAACAGAGGTCAGTGAGTGTCTCCTTCCGTAAAACATCAGTGTCAAAATTTGCTAACTAGGCCACCATTTCTTTCAATGATTAATACCTTTTCATACTTAGTAAACTATCACTGAATTTTAGATGAACTTGAATATGCTCCAGTGTTTTAAGTTTTAACCTCTTTATTTTAATAATAAAAATACATTTTCACAAATGTATTTAATTGTAAGCAAATTTAATTAAATCATTTATGGACTCATGAAAAGGATCATCTCTGCTGAAAAACTCACTAAAAGTTCTTCACGGAAACTTGGTTGAATGCCTGCACACTTTTGATTGTGGGCGAAAAAATACAGTGCCCAATTAACCACGAATTCTGCTAAAATATGTAACGTAACTGTGTAGTATCGACGTTCTTGTCACATTGATGGTCATCTCGACCATCTTACACAAGACACAATAATGAGTCACCGGAGAGTAAACAGCTAATGGCTCTTTGTGGTCTGTGCATGTATTCATCACATTCCCTCAGATATCTGCCTCTTCTTCCCCACCACTGGTCGAAATACACTACAATGTTTGTCACAAAGTGGGCAGTTTATCTTAAGTGTCTGGAGAGTAAACAGCTAATGGCTCTTTGTGGTCTGTGCATGTATTCATCACATTCCCTCAGATATCTGCCTCTTCTTCCGCACCACTGGTCGAAATACACTACAATGTTTGTCACAAAGTGGGCAGTTTATCTTAAGTGTCTGGGTATTTTTTACCCCTCCTTTATAATCATTCTTTCAGTACTGATTGTGACCCACTAAATTGGTCTCATGACCCACTGGGGTATATTTTCCCACAGTTTGAAAAACACTACCTAAGCAATTCTATTTGCCAATCTACTCCAGCAAGACATTAAAAAAATAAAATAAAATAAATTCCTGTGCACCTTCCAAACAAGTTAGTCTATTTTTTGTCCCCTAAAACTCCACTGCAGATAAAAATGCATATTCCTATAAAAGGCTGATGTCTTTTTATACCTGGAACTATTCAACCATCTTTGGAATTATTATTCTCCTCAGTCCATTCTGAACCTCTTGAGAATTTCTAAGCCAAGTTAAAACTACAAAACTCAATCTTCAATAATAATGTTGTTACTTTCGCAATGTAAACTTGATGTGAGATGGATATTAAATGTGGTTCATCTAATACTTACATATCAGAATTTAAAAAAGAGCCATTTATCCACTTCCAGCTCTTCTCTGATAGTACAAAATGTAATCCAGTCCAATATAGAATTCCTTCTTCATTTATCAGGTTCTGTATGAGTTTCTATAAACAAAACAGAATGAAGGACTGAATACTGAATCTGTTTACTGTTCATGTTTGTCTTCTCGCGCGCATTCTCTACGAGCTAGTTCAAGCATCAGCCCCTCTATGCAGTCTTTTCTAAATCCTCATCAGAGTTAATTATTAGTTCTTTGTGAAACTTTTCTTCATAAATTTAAATTTGTATTGTTGTGTTCATCACCTTATATTTAATTATTTGCTGACATGTCTATTTAGCCTCTCAGATGATGTGTTTCTTGAAGCTGAAGTCTCCACCTCCACTGCACAGAAACTTTGCGTTCAAGCCCAGAGTTCTTGATATGGTTTAAAGAAAGTGCTAAGTTCTATTAAGGTATTTGATTTAATAACTTACCAATTCTTCCTGATCTTGAATAAGCAACAATCTGGATTCTTCTGTGGAACAGTTGGCTAGACTGTTATTCCAAGAGCTGAGAGTGGGAGATAAAAACAAACATTTCCCTGGGAGTGGATGCCAATGTTTTGGGCACTCCAACAGACCTGGTCTCTCTAAAGTAAAACAATGGAAAGAAGAAATAAATAAGTGTTATATTTCTAACCTGTCCCCACCACACCACAATCCATCACACACGGGTCATCACAAATTCTGAGAAGTCTTTGATTATCACGATGAGAACAATGATCTTATAATTTTGATGTTTTTAGGACCTACTGTTTATTCTGGTATCAAGAATTAGGAATCGGTGACCAGTTATACTGAGCATAAATGGAATCACAGAATATTAGAATAGGAAAATATCACCAAAGTAATTTAAACACCCACATCTCACATTTTAAGAAACTGAGAGACAGAACAACTTATTCAGCTCCACCCAGAGGGTGGTAGAGTCAGGACTATTTTTCAGTTTCCTTCAGTGCATCACCAGTACTTTTCC